AAAAAAGGAAAAAAAAAAAAGAAAGAAACACACACACCCCCACGCACATGCTTCTTTTTTGACTGTATAGCGAATATGACAACACACACACACGATGACTCGAAACAGGTGAAAATTTTACAAATAGAGGAGCGCCTACTTTTGGCAATCGATGTTCCCGCCAACGTGACCGTAGACGATCCAACGAAAGGCACCTCGCCTCCCCCCTCTCCACCCAATCGATGTTCCCGCCAACGTGACGGCAATCGGTGTTCCCGCCAACGTGACGGCAATCGATGTTCCCGCCAACGAGACCGCAACAGCTCGAAGCACACCCCACGTTCAAATTCCTACGGCAACAGCTCGAACCCCAACGGCGTAAACAGAGGCAGTTGAGAAGTTGGGAAGATAGCTTGCATTTTATATTTTATGACGTTTCAAAATACGAGAGGTTAATTTTCGAAATACCCCTATAAGGTGAGATATATGCCAAAATGCACCTAAGGGATGTGGTAGAGCGGAATGCCCTATTGGGCCTAATTCTTTGTGTTTTGCCCCTGCCAGGCCATGTGAAAATTTGCAATCTGGACCGCATGGTTGGGGCCTGGGCCTGCACCCTGATTTACCGGTTTCCCCTCCATTCCCGGTGGGCAACTTCGCGCAATACCCAGGCCCATAGGCACGGCACTTCGCGTCTGTGATTCGAACTTTCGAATCACGGCAGCTTCGCCCTGGTAAGCTTGCCCATCTCCAACTCCTTGTCCCCGGCCTCCTCGTTTGCCATCTCCAACATACTCCTGCCCGTCTCTCTCTCTCTCTCTCTCTCTCTCTCTCTCTCTCTCACACACACACACACACACACACACAGCGCAACTGCTAAAACGACAGCGCCTTCCCCCCGAATAGAACGCACATCCATTATCTGCCTATCCAGACAGAAAGTTGCTCCAAAAAATTACAGCCATAATTTTCAGCGTGAGTTTTTCTGGGGAGGCAACGGCCAGGGGGCAAAACGCAGAGATGACTTGGGCCAGTAGGGGTAAAACGAAAATAGGGCCTGGGAAAAGTTGGCAAGTACGGAGACATTTTGCAAGGGAGGACGGTTCCTGGTAGGGGTATTTTGCAAATATGGTGGGTTCAACCAACGCCAGGGCATTTCGCAAAACATTTTTTGTGTCGAAGGGGTATTCCACTCTACCCTTATCTTTTAGGGGCATTTTGGCATACAGCTCAACTGATAGGGGTATTTCGCAAATTATCCCAGTTTTAAACTGTCTGGACAATATGCAGCAATTGCCCCACTTGCACTCTAGGTAGGACTTATCTAGATGGATCTGACTGCAGACCTGGGGTGGATGTGGCCGCAATCGTGGCCAGAGCTGAGCCCAAAAGGTCCTACCAGTAGATAGTATGCCCTCAACTACCAGCAGGATTGCTTGCCCAAACCTTTGCAACAACTGAACCAGAACCAACGGACCCTGCTCAGTTCGTACCCCATGAAACGTTGAATATATACTTGAGTTCGAAGCCAAGTGAAAGAAGGAAATCACATATGGTTTCTGAATTACTCCGGGTCGGTCATTTCAACGATGACATTTCAACGATGATATTTGTGGGCGGTCGCCCAGCGGTGTGATATGGCACCCAGCATCGCTGCTATTGAACTGGACAAAAGAGGCGGACCCATAACATGTGGCTGAATTTACTCCCACAAACCACTTATTAGCAGATATGAGTTTGAATCCTGGTGGAGCCAATGAATAATATATCTCCGAGTTCCCAAGGTCGGTCATTCAATGATAATAGCTCGAGGCTGGTAACGCAAAGGAATGGAAGGAGCGATCGGTAGCACACTAGTACGAAAACAGAAAGAACAAAACGACCAGTGGCACACCATCAATGTCAAGTAAATAGTAAAGGACAAACGGGGTAGACGCGGACACATCAGATGGTTAGAAGGTGTGAAGGCACAACCAACAAAGTTTGCCTCCCTACAATGGCAGATTGAACACAAATGCTTACCAACCAACGACTGGTTGATAGAATGCTCACACCTAAACCATAAGGGCCTACCGCTAGCCCTTCCTTGGTGTACGACGTGCCAGGAAGGTTATCGTAGCCCTAAAATCAAAGACCATGAAACATATAATATATTCCTGCAATGTCCGGGGGCAGTGCGCAGATGGTGCTGGTGGGATAAAATATGGAGATAACTGCAAACAGAGTTCGATTGGTCATGGAACTGCATATGATGCACGAGCTTTTGAGCATGCACTGGTTTCTGAGCCCCTCTCTTTTTGTTGTCTCTAAAGGGGTAGTACACTGTGTTTTCGTTGTGCTTTCCGGTTCCCACACAATTCTTCAAGTATTTTCCAACTTTGTGTGAGTAGTGGCTAGATATGGTGGTGATCAGCGGATCGAAAAGTTTTGATGAGTCGACTGCGACTTTGTGGGATTCAAGTTGCGCGCTAGATCGCCGCAACAGACTGCGGGATCTAGGTGAATCCACGAAGCAGTTGGGTGGATGGGGTGACCATCGGTGGGGTTCACGTTGGGTACTTGGTGACGGGGATCGTCAGTGCTCGAGCAAGGCGAGAGGTGACTATGGTTGATTGGTTGACCTAGGGTTATGGTTCGAAGAGCAAATTTATGTACTTTTCTGCCTCCAAATTGCTTCTGAATAAAGTGGACGACGAGACGTCGATCTCTGATTTCAATCAAGTGTTCTGCATTCATTTTCTTTCTCTCTCTCTCTCTCTCTCTCTCTCTCTCTCTCTCTCTCTCTCTCTCTCTCTCTCTTCGGATTTTGGAATCATATGTGTGGATGACATTTTGATGCATGGTGTATGGGTGAATAAAAAATGTGTATATGTTCGGTATCTGTGCTTTCTCGCTTTTACAGAGAGTTGGGTTGGGCGTGTACCTCGTGAAAGTATGGATGCATGTGAATTTGTTTGTGTTCAAGTCTCGTGATTTTCCTATTTAAGATGAATAAGTGAGTGTTCATAGAGGTTTTCTTTTGTTTCTGCATACCTCCGCTTACACGAAGAATGTTAAGCATCGTTTGTTTGTACGCGCGAGGATTACTCTCTCTCCCTCTTTCTTCCCCCCCATTTTTGCACGTTGGATAATTGCACTCGTCCCGTCAGTTATCATCCTTTGTCTGCATAGTGATGGTAATAGGTGAGTGTAAGTCGCCCTCAAAGAACTTTAGATCCATCTAGGCTTGATTTCTCTGATTGTAATCTGTTTGATGGAGTGGTTGCTTGATACATAGGTTCGATGGAATGTGTGTATGAGTTTTCCTCCTCTTCAACGCACATTTTTGTTGGTAATTGACGAGCACCCCTCGAAACATTTAGTTTAGATGGTTGATAAATGACTTTATGAATAAATTGTTTGTTATTTTTTCTCCCTATAAGTTGCGTAGCGATCCGTACGGCACCACATACACATACACTCGTACGAATCCGTACACGTACACGTATATTTTTTTTCGATATCTAGGTGTTGGTTAGTGTCCATGCACCCTATGTACATGAAATCAACCAGAAAAAAACGAAGTTTCAAAACCGATTTCATGTATACACGGTATGTGGCTTATAACACCCATGTCCACCATTTTTTTAACGACTATATCCAATTTATTCATCGATTGGATATAACACCTTAAAAATTAAAGAAAGGAAAGCATAAAAATGTGTGGGTGCGTGTTTGTTCTGTTTATGTTGTGGATGTCAGTGTGCAGTGTGTGCGTTCTTTTTTATCACATACACTCACACAACACACATACAAAGACATATTGTCGTTGCATTTATTTATTTTTATGTTTTTTATTTTTTTATGTTTCTTTATTTTTATGGTATTTAATAAGAATTTGGGGTTGGTGCTCATATAATATTGCATGTATGCCTACGTTACATAACATGTTTTTTTTTTTTTTTTCCCATGTACGTTTTACGTATAGGACGTACGGGGTTACATACATAAAATTTGCATACATTATGTACGAAAAATCCCCGTACATGTATGCACGATAATATAGCCTACCAATTTTAGCTCGCATAATTAGCTATAGTCGTTGATCCTTTAAAAGCATACCCTTTTTTTCTTGACTGCCTTTTATTATTTCGACGGATGAATGACTGTTTCCACAATAACTTCTTCCTAAGCTCGTTCATAAGCTTCTTGGGTAATACTCCCTTCTCAAAGGAACATTGGGCATGAAAGTCACGTCATATTGCCTGATTTCCTTCATATGGGCGATTCCTTAAACTGATGGGGTTAATCTAATTGTTTCTTGAACAACAGATGTGTGTGTGATCGCCAACCGCTGGTCGTGTGGATTGAACTAGTCGGATCATTATAATCTGAATCCACGAATATCCTCGTTCTCACCTCTTCTCGTATAACGAGGATACAAATGTCAGTGAATGGGATGTACATAAGGTCGTGGCCAAGATGGACCACCCATATCAATTTCTATATTAAACACAGTGGTTTGGGTTTGTTAATTTTGGATTTGTCATTGTTGATACTATTTTCCCTCCTTACTCTCTTTTGCTCCCCTTT